AAATTTTGTTAAATTATTAATTTTTTTATATTTGATAAGAAATTAATATAGTAAAAATTAATAAAAAAAATTATCAAGTAAATTATACATAAAAGAAGTTAGAAAAGAACTTTTTCCTTTCAAAAAAATGTGGAAAGAAACATCATAAAGAAAAAGGTTTAATGCTTCATAAAGAGAAAATGGCTTGGCAACCACACATCCCTTTAGTTTGAGGGTGTTAATCCCAAACTTTCTTAAGAACTTGGAGTGGATATATAAGACAATTATAAAATAGCAGCATTTTTGTCTGATTAATTGAAAACATTGAATATATAGAAGACATAACTGGATGTTTTCCTTAGAGTGGCAGTTGAATTAGATGAAAAGATCCATTCATTTAGTTTGAATTTTCAAGCTGTGCTTCAATTGTAGAAGGACATAATAACTTTTTGCTGAAGAAATTGAAGAAAGCAACTGGTAGAAACTACCTGATCTTTAACAGGTGCGATGCATCCACCAGTATGAGGTACATTAAACTGAGGCCTTTTTTCAATTTACAGCCAAATTGGTTTTTTACAACTAGGAGTTGTTCCAGTGCTTCAACTTCTTATTGCACGTAGCAGGAACCTGGTTCAAAAGGGGCAACTCGGCCTGGTCCAGATAATGGAGCAGCAGCAACTCCTCTTTGATTCAGTAAACATCTGAAATAAGCCAACCTTCCAGTAACTTCACTTGCATCCTTGGCAAGCTTGTCATATGGTGTCCATAGCCGCTCTTCATATAAAAGGACAAGGGAAAAGGAATTAAAATAGTTAACCGGGGAAAAATTCACATACAACAAAATGATTCCAATAAGCCAAACACACACACACACACACCTCTATTCCAGAACCAGTGATCAAACCACTTTTTTAAGCAAATTTTGCTAGCAATGCAACAAGTTGCTTGGTTAGATCGTGGTCTAGTTAAAATATCTTCTTTTACCTCTACAAGCCTTAATAAACTAGTCTTTGTTCTCCAGTTACAATATCCTATGTTTGGTTTTTTTTTTTTTTTATTAGTATAGAACTATAGATGCCAGAACAAGAAACAAGTAGTGTAGTGTGTTAAATGTTCTTCATTATAAAACTTCAACGCAAGCTCTATTTTATTGGCTACCAGGCTTAACTCCCAAGACATGAAGCCAAGAGTTAAAGCATAAAAAATCAAAACCATTGATTTGTTAACAATATCGTGCCAGCAATAAGGTATTGGGGTAATGGAATGTTAACTTAGTAGACAATAAGTACCAGCAGCTGCTGCAGCACGTGGCCATATGGTTTGTTCTATATCTGACCCATCAATGTATTCACCCCACATGCATACCTCACCACCAATAACTAACTTCTGTTGCTTGGAGTTTGTAATATTTGTGAGTGGTTCATTCATATAGAATTCCTGCCAAGTGGTGTCCAAGTAGTGCAAGTACCACTTATCCTGGTTGCTCACAATGCACCTTAATCCAGATGCCACCACTTGCTGAGCAACTCCACGACCAAGCCTGATTTAAATCAAAGCACAAATAGAAATCTCAGGAGAGGCATTATCTGAGCAATGTATGGGCACTACGCTTCTACACCATCCGACAATTGAATCCAAAGCAAAGTTTGAATATTGAGTAGAAAATTATAAGTTGCACTTGCTTTGGAAATATTTAGCAGTGAAAATTTCCTAACTATGTAAGACCAAAAACAATATAACTATGAAGGTTTCAAATGATAGTTAC